AGGTGGATTCCTCCAAGACCCCCACTAAAGTCAAAGAGATGTGTGAAGTGCCTTACATACAGGCCACTGGCACACTCCTTTACCTTGCAATAGGCATGCAGCCAGACATTGCTGATGCTGTCAGCATTTTATGCTGTTTTAATGCCTGTCTTGGGCCCAGACACTGAAAGGCTGTAAAGCATCTTTTGCACTATGTTTGAGGTATTCTAGACTACAAAATTGAATCCTCTACTGGTGCTGTCTCTTTACTCTCTTACCTGTCTGTTGCCTTCACAGATCAGGGGTTTGCTGGGGAAGTGTCAGAGTTAGCTAGAGCCGGTGCTATGAGTGAATAAAGGTCAGGATGAGTTGTGGGGGTGTTGGTGGGCAGAAAAGCAGAGTGGCTTGGGAAGAGGTCTGGAGGTCTGAGAGTGGGTTGTGACAATAGTATTTTACATGATTTAACCAGAATTTTCAATACTTCCAATTCTTCATGCCAATGTCATCTTTCAAAAGGTATAAAATATTGGGACAGTTTTTTGAGCCACTGTACATCCTTTCTCCCTTTGCCTGCCTTCATTTTCTGATTCCTAATTGATTGATTGTTTACTGTTTGAATGGGAGATACAATTTGCTGACTGGTCTTTTGAAGCTGTTGAGGCTAATTACCTTGATGGTGTTCCTTGATACATGTGCCCCAACTCTGCCACATCTACTATACATCTTATGACCCACACCACCTCCAAGAATTCAGAGCCTCGAGAAATTCTTAACCTTCTTTATGATTGGCACCTTCTCATCACTGAACAGCCCTTTCAGAAATAAAAATTTGATGAAGTCACATTGCACCTTCTAGGCTCCCTCAAAAGATCACCCCATGTTTAAAGTAAGAGTCTGCTTTCCAGTGACATGAAACACAGATATGTTCTGTCAGATAAATTGGTTGTCCTAACTCCTGGGAATGTTAAGGCTAACTATCAAGAGAGAATACCACAGCCCAAAGATCTACTGGATGCTTCCCACCTACCAAATTGCAAAGCTATTATATTAATGCTTTGGATAATCCTCTTATTCAACCCCTTTCTGCCACAGCCTTACCAAAGCTGCTGGAAGAAGGATTCAAGCAGTTATCAAGACATACAAAGTACTAAATACTAAAATTAGAGATGCTCAAAAAACTGTCTCAATGAGTGAATATTGTAAAATGGCCATTACTCCGTCAGTTTTGATTTTAATTACATAAACTGAAATACAATTTGTAGCTATGATGCCATAGTATTTTGCATGATTTAACCAGAATTTTAAAGACTTCCAATCCTTCATGCCAATGTCATCTTTCAAAAAGTATAAAACATTGGGACAACTTTTTGAGTCACTGTACATGTGGCATTTTGAGGTATTTACTTTGTTAGTACTAACATATGCCAGTAGACATTGGAGCATTTCATTGATAATGTGATATAGATACATGATTGGTTTATATATGAGATTTTAGTGTCAGATTATTAGAAAAAAGCAACACTGAGTCAACCAAATTCAGAAATCTAGCCAAACCAAGTAAAGTGGGTCTGAATCTCAGCATTGAGCCAACAAAATACAAGAGCATGGATAGACTAAGTGAGGTTGAGTCTGGGTCTTAGCAGGAGATACAGGCCCATGCCAAAGGCATGACTGTAGCTTATACTGTAATAAAGAGATCTGGTAGACACTCTGTTATAAATATGCATCTGTTACATCAAGACCATAATGTTGTGGACCTCTCCAATAAAGCCATGCTAGCCACACTTGTTACTCATCTACATGTCCCTTCTAGGCCTTCAATCAGTGGCATGATCATGTACAAAAAAGAGCATCAGTTCTCAATGAGGTCTCTGGTGAGGGAGTATTGGAGTGCTAGATACAAAAAGTGTGACAATATGTATCAGTTGACTTTACATCAAACTGAGGATTGTTAACTCATTATTCTGTCAGTGTCTGAGTTTGACAAATGGGTTCCTACAGAAGGAGAATGATAATTGTGAGTTTACTTGTTTTTTTTTTTGGGGGGAGGAGGGTTGTTGAAATTGATTTTAAAAGTAATCCATTATAATGAAAAGAAAGGCTGGAGAGTTGTGGAAAGGAGAACCAGCCAAAGCAGGAGGAAAAGCTTGGTGTTGCAGAGATTAAGGACATATGAGGACTTGGAGGACTGAGTCAATAGGACATGGGGGGATGGGATGTCTGGTGAAGTGGCATACCACACAAGTCTAAAACCACTTGAGCAGCCTCTTGCTGATATAATACAGCAAGCTTTAGATTTGAACCAAATCACCCACCTTGTGGTATCATAACTCCTCTTTTCTGGACAATGACTTACCCTGCCTTCTCATCCAGACACCCTATCCAATCATCCCAATTAACACCATCAAGCCCTGCTATCAGCATCACCCTGCTATCAGCCCATGACATTCTGCATCAATGACCCTCCCTTTTTAGGTAGAAACACCCTGGACTTGCCCTCCAAAACCCTCAAACCTGTTCTGCACCTGCCCAGAATCCTCCAGTAGTTGCCACTGACCTTGTCTCAGCCCTGCTGCTCTGCTCCCAGAACCTAACTAAGAATTGGTGTCTTGCCCTCATAGCTGCATCAGATCCCCAATCCACCCCAAAGGCCCTGGGGCCTCAACTATAAGTATCATAGCTCCATGACCAGTATCTGAGTCTTGATATTGCTTGGGTCTCCATACATTTCCCAGCCTTAGTTTCCAAGCATTATCTATTTCATGGCCTTATCAGTTTCCTGACACTTGTCCCAACTTATCTCATTAACTACACTACTCCAAATACAACTGTTGACCCTGCTCCTAACAAAACTCCAGCTCAATTCCTAAGTCTTCCAACTTCACTTTGTCTCCAAATTTAGCACTCTTGTCAACTCCTGGATCATTTGTTTGACTCCAGTCAGATTTCAATGCTCCATAAGTCCCTTAGTGATTCAGTTGCTTGCTCTACAGTAAGAGAGCCCCCCATGTCAGCTGGGCCTAACACCTGGACAGATTAAATTTATACTTTGCATAGGGTGCCTGGAGGCCAGCTGCACAAGGGAGGTTTAGTGGGTATTGGGACAAAAAAATAAGTCCATTGAGTCCTACACCATATTTGAGACATAAAAATCTGAAATTTGTGCATTTCTTTGGTGAAATGGAGGTCCAATTTCTTTTGTCGAGAGTAGAAATTCCCACATTGTTGATCAGAAGTGCAGTCATCCTTTTAGAATTAGTGCCAATCTAGATAGCACTACCAAAAAAAAAAGAGAACCAATAGGATGTTGAGAAATTCAATTACAAGCAAGTAAAAGAATGGAGAAAATCTCTGGCTACAAATATCTCATCCCACATTAGCCAGACACCTCAGCCCCACTATTCCATGCACACCCCTGCTCAAACATATGCTGCATCTCCTATCTGACACCTTATGCCCAAGTTTACCTGAATCAGTATTTACAACAAACAGAGGCACAACTCCAACGACTCAGATGTAGAACCAACTTTAGAGAAACTTTGCACTCCTTTGTAGTTGAAAACACTTAGATGGTACGTACTATGTCTAGTGACTCTAGTATACACCAGGGAGGAACCACCAGGGAGTATCAGCAGCATACTGAACCCACTCTTCCTTAAACAACTTCCTCATCTTATCATCTTCAGCTTGCGCTCTGCTACACACAACACAAAGTGCCCACACCCACCAAACTGTACACACCGCAATTGCTGAACCAGGGATCCTGAATGGGCCACACGAAGTCAGCCATGCACCTTTTGAAAGGTGAGACAACGCAATGCCGATGACAATAAGCATGGCCCCTGTGTAAGCTGGGTGCCTGACGTATGAGTAGAATCGCTCTTTGACCAATTTGTGGTTGGGTTCGACAGCAAGCTCGAAGGTGAATAAGTGTCCGAGAGTACGGTAACAGTCGAGGCGGATGTAAGTGCCAAGAGCCACAGCAATTACACCGACCACAAAAAGCGGGGTAGTGTATACGGCCGGATGAGACTCGGATGGTAAGAATGGACAGATGAGAGCCGAAGTAGAAATGGGGGATGGAGACCCCATAATTGGGAATAGAGTGCGCAGGTGGAGGGTGGCTTCAAAGAAGACACAGACCCATAGAATGTATGAATGAACCTGTTGAAATTGTAAATAATAGGATAAAGTGAAGAGCACTGCTACATGCTTTGAAAACCAGAGGTGCTATTCGAAGGATGAGGAGTTGCTCAGTATGATAACGGGCCTTGGTCGGAGTGGGATTCGGAGCCACAGTGCAGGCGTAGTGGTTGCATACCGCCTGGATAATAGCGAGGACGACGCGTGAAATAGACATTCGAGTGATTTGAGGGCGTTATGGTCTTATGTACCGACTTGATTTATAAAGGGTGGTATAACATTTATCGGAGCAGCTCGCACGCATGTTGTTATGAGAAACGAGGATGATCTTCCTTCACTGAGTTGGATATTGCTCCACAAGTATGATAAGAAACCTACACGCGTTTACGTAAATGTTCACCGAGGTTTACGCATCCAGAACACGCATGCGTTGCGATTGTGATACACATAGTTCAATTGATCATAATGATACCTCTGCGTGTCCTGACTGAACCCGTCTACTTTATCTTGACCATATGGTCAAAGGTTGAAGGCCAACTATCAGAGCCTACGAAGGGCCAATTTCGGATTTAGACTAACCTGTTTCGGACTGAGGGCCACTAACTCGGATCCTGTTCTTCCAAGTACCAGAGTTTAAATTTAGATTCATCCCATGTATGTCACGGTGGGTCTGGCAGACCTCAATAGCGAAGCATTGATGTCACAGCCATCTCATCCGTCTCTAACTTTAAGTATCGGCATCAGCACGGAAGACAATATGAGAATATCAACGTGTGAATACAGTGTCGTTGGGGGCACCCCTTGAAGGAAATTCACGCGCAACATCGGATTTTTGTCTCACGCGAGTTAAACCTTCTTTCATTGGACGTCTTTATGTATCGGATATGGTGTAATGGCTAACATTGCCGCCTCTCATGTATCTAGAATTCGAATTTTCAGTACCGCGGCAGCTCGGGGTTCGATTCCCCGTATCCGAAAAGTTTTCTTTGTTGCTTTTCTTTTTCATCCAGTGTACTTATCTGCCTGGTCTTGTCAGTACTTTCGTCTCTACCAGGCTATTCAAAATCCCAACGTATGTATAACGAGAATATCACATAACGTTTTGCCCGAGAGCAGTTATATGCACGTGGCTATGCGGAAGTCCGACGAAGCCTCCCACACTCATTTAGTTTGCACCACCAGTTCACAATGCACCTCCGTCTCTTCCCTCTCCTTTTCCTCCCTCTCTTGTCCCTTTCCCAGCAAATTCCGCTCATGGATAATCCACTCGCAGAATCTCCCCCAATCCACACCAAACCCACCCTATCCGACCTTCTAACAATCGAACCTACCGCTTCCATCTTCTATGCCTACGCTCGCGAACTAGAGCTTAGCGCCCGATTTGCGGACTCCGAAGATATGTTGACGGTGTTTGCACCTACGAATAAGGCTGTTATGGCGTTGGCGAGGAAACCGTGAGTCGTCGTTATTTTTGTGCTTTATTTATTTACATAAGGATGGGGGTTAATGCTGGAGTATCACAGACATCAAGGGCCCAATAGACCATCAGACGACGGCATAACAATTACCGAAGAAGAATATGATAACCTATCCAAGAAGAACGTCGAGAATTGGGTATCTGCGCACATCCTACCCGTCAGTCTTTGCTTTTCCCAACCCTTCTGAAATTGAAATTCGAAGTCATACACATACAGGAATCTCCTATCTCTTTCGACACACGCGACTACCCAACGCTCTTACATCACAAATCCATCACTTTTAAGCCTATAAGCAAGAACGACGGTAACGATCCTGCGTGGAGTCGGGTTACGCTTGATGATGGTGTCCGGATTATTGGGATGAAGGAGGTACGATCCCTTCTACCTGTGGTTCTTTTACCTGAACTCGTTGTACATCACAGGCTTCGAATGGTGTCCTCTACATGATTGATGGTTCTATATATTACAATTGACAATATGGCTTTGTTTCGGACTTCACTACTCATGACTTGGCCCGTTGTACTCCTACATGTAAATCCTATTGATTGATTATGAATGCAACCCAACTCATAGTGTTGTCGTTTCCTAGACTCTTTCTTTGTAATAAACATTATATTGTTCGTTTCGCCGGTATCACCCTTGAAATTCTAGTCTCGAACTTCCGCAAGTGGGTGGAGCTCTGCATCAATGAGGTGAATCCACTCAGATGATGCGTGGCAGACCGACAATCTCCAAGTTTGTGTGACATCAAATATTTCCTCCCAGTACGAACGCATAGGCTGTCATGAGAGTTGCTCAGCCGTTTTCACTCTGCGACTTCGTTTTCGTTCTTGTCCTCCTCTTTGACTTTGTGGCATCACTCAACGTTCTTAGTCCTTAAGTCGCATCCTCAAAATCAGGAAGCTGTTCGACCGCCTGTGGTTCCATGGCATGCACTCGGACTGCAAATTGATGGATCCAATTTTGTTGAAAGGATGAACTGACAAATACTGGGTTATTCAAGAGCGCCAGTGGCCCGTTTGAGTTCACAGTTCTGCTATGACTTGGAGTTCGGATACGTGTTTCCCTTGGTGAGTTGACCAGATGTGCAATACGATAATGCTATCTTTTGTTTCTATCTTGAGCATCTTAGGATCAGAATTTCACCTCGGGCGTCTTCTTTTACTGGATATTTCTCATGCAATCCTCATAGGTCCTCTCAAACCTACTCTCGTTTTACAGGTAAGACTTGCATAGGGCTTTTATGCATTAGCATTGGCATTGTTAACCGCGTTCTCCCAGTGTACATCTGAGCAGAAAATGTTCGATTCCCAGTGTGCCGGATACACGGATAAGAATTTACAGCACAATGTCAAAGTAGGGTCTTGAAGTGAAATAAAAGCGCGCAAGCTATCAACAAATCGGAGGGCAGCCTCTATCATAAGGGTCGACAATAGCGCGAATTGAAGCTTGGCCTCGTCCTCCTTATTGGGGAAGAAATACTCTTTGAACGCTCGGTCACCCGCGTTCTCTCGAAAACGTTTGTGCCGTCCGTATGTCGCATTCGGGTCGTGAATGAAGTGCGTGACAAAAACCCAAAAGACATCCTTATTTTTCGCTTAAGATATGATCCGGAACTTTTCCCCTTAATACGCATCGTTATGCTTTTGAATGATATAGGGAATAAGGTCGTCGTCCCAGAAATCGATGCCGGGACAGTATCGAAGGGCCCATAATTTGGCGTCTTCGAAGGACAGTATATATCCGTCTATCACAAGCATGGCAAGTCTGGATAAGTGACTTGGCACGAAAGAACCAGAAAGTGATATCATGACAGATCATGACACTTACATATGTTGGTCGTAGCAACACTGAATGCGTATGCGCGATCGTGAGTGATGTGAATAGTAATAGTAGAAGTTGAAAAGGCTCCTTACATAGACTCCGTGTAATTAATTGTTATATAATCATACTGTTCACCGAAAAACAAATGGCATGACGCGGGCGGCATCAACAAAAAGGTACTTGCATGGCCTGGGACCTGTTATTTGATAGAGACATAAATTGAAGACAATAGATGACAATGTATATCAACAGTCAGAAATAATGGTTAATACAATCGAAATCTCAGCCTGGTTGACAGAAATATATTAAGTATTATAAAAGCATTCAGAGAGGCATACACAATACCAAAGTGAAAAAGATGTCATCATGGTAATAGTATGATATGGTCTGGGAAAGTTATGCTAGTCTGATAAAATTCTAGGATTGCCTGGAGCATCATATATTAAAATGATATTACATGATTTGAGAAATTCAGAATGTCTCAAACTCAACTCATAATGCCAACTTACTGCTATTTGCATTCATTCTTGGATTAATCTGTTTGGAACATTGAATGAAATATATTCCACATAAAAACATGAGTTAATTGGGATTTTAGTATTCAAGTTGGAAACCATTGAAATATTTTTCTTGGATTGGCTAAATATCCTGAGCATTTATCATTAAATTCTAAGTAGCAGAATATATGTATGTTAGCTCACCTCAAAACTATAAGGCTCTAAAGCCAAATGATTTTTCAAAGTGTTCTCCTTCACTCTTGTCATTCTCACTGTCATCAGCTCCCAGACCATCTCCCTCATAGTCATTCTCTGAATCTGAATGATCTTCTTCAAGTAGATCTTCTTGAGTCAGTTCAGCTGCGTTAGGCTTGGCTGAATTATAATTGACTAGCTCCACCTCTAAATCCTGGAAACTTGAATCTGATTGATCTACAAATACTTTTTTCATATTTCTTTTTGCAAGACATATATTGCTCTTTGTGTCATTTGATGTCCAATTCCACCACTAGTAAAACATACAAACATATCCCTGTCAGCAAATTTAAAGCCTGATGTCAGTGCATGTTATGAATCATAGACTAACTCACATATGAACATCATATTGATTACAATCTGTATCATCCCTCCTCTTTCCACCATGCCATTGATAGGCTGAATAAATCATTTGTAACTCCACTCACAAATCATAAAATCAGATGAACTACATTAACTTCACTCACAAATCATAGAATTAGATGGACTCCATGTAAAACATTGTCAGGATCAATGAATTCAAAAGCATTATTACCCTCTATGAATCCAATATGACATATGCTTTTGGGTGTTTTAATCATGTGGATTTGTCATATGCAGTTCTGAGGTCTACAAAGCAGCACTTGGTGCTATTACTCCTGAGAGAGGGGGGGGTCTGTCATTTCTTTGCTTCAAATACTCTATTAATTGACCTTAGTTTCACCTTGTCTTTGAGGTATACTTGACCTTATCTATAGCACAAATTCTTGTTGCTGACTTAAGTGTTACAACCATAGGCTGAAGACCTTTTCTATTCATATTGTCTGGGTCCTTTCCTTATGCAGGTGTAAATCAACTATGTTAGTGATATCCTTTATGAAAACAACAGTGTATTTGACAAAAATAGATACATCATAAAGGTTTGCCTGCCTGCACCAATGGTCCATATCTTTGAATCAAGTTTATGATGGTATTCTGTGTAACAGACATACATTGGCCATTATACCCTGTGTCATACCATCTGAATGTTTACACCTATTTTTTTCAGCATATCTCTTACATTTGGTCATCACAAAATATCTTCATGTTTTCTCTGCCATGCTTGACTATCCTCTGTTGGCATCCTTGAACATCCATCACTTCTGCAGGTGGCAGCTATATGGAAAATGCATGAACTTGGCATTACTGCTTTAACTAAGAGATATTTTGATATATTGACCCAGGCCAATGTTGTCAATTTGGCCTTTTAGTACATATATTTCTCAACCAATTAAACTTTATATTCTCATTTACTTTTTGTTTTGAAGTTCTTACACTCACTTTGACCACAAGTCCTAACACCTTGGTTACCATGTTTCATGCATACCCAAACAATGTGCAATGACATCTAGACAAAGCATATACATACACTTATCTGGGATGCTCTTACAGCTGGCACACACAGCATATAAGTGTCTAGTACTCAGTACCTGGCTTGTTAAAAAGGAAACATTTGAAATATTTGTTTAACCCAGTATCAAAAGAGATTGTGAGTCATTGAACTCTCATGCTCTTTGAAACTCTTATTCATTTTATTGATCTACATATATAGTTTGCACTTGCAACAAGTGATTGATCATTGTCATTTGGCAGTGTTCTTTTTTTTTTTGATAAATTCAATCATTTTTTTGGATGTTTTATTTTATAAAAATATGTAAATATAATAGTGATCAAACCTGTATACAACTGGATTATGTATCATATGTAGTTATATCATAATGTATATACATTGAATCTACTACAAACAGATTGATAAGGTCTAGTAGACTTCAGGCTTGCCATGTGCCACAATAGCTCATCTCTGATGGTATAGTTGATGCAATGTCTTGTCCTCATAGATCATTTGCTCCTTAATAATGAGATTGCCACAATGTTCATCTGTGATTTTTATTGTCAGGTTCCGCT